AACCTGCAAAAGAACCTGGAATGATTTGTGGTATGTAGGTTGATTATATGTCCTTCAGAAGCCTTCTGAAGAAAGCAGAATGGCACCTCATTTATTGTTGTAAGCAACAAAAAGCCTATTGTGCTAACTGCTGCTAACGTTTGAAGAGGGCTTTTGCTCCAATGCATGATTAGAAGTATACTCTATTTACTTGAGGTTACTGCTGGCAAAGGTTTTGCCATCACCACTTAATTTTTTCCTGCAGTTATCTTGTTCATGTTTCTTCTTCTGACTTTTATAGGAGCATGGCCATAACATCTTGAGAAAACACTCTGGAAAATAAAGTTGAGTCTAGTATATCCAGGCCTTGTAGAAACAGTGAATTCCCAACAGGATTTGAAATTGTCAATTAGTGCTGCTTGCAGGCAAACTAATCTACTATGAATTTCAGAAGTACAACATCCAAGGCATGACTTCAGAGTACTTCAAAGAAAAATGGCTTTGTCAATAGGAACTGTAGTATACTTAACTTAGAGATAAGGTGTAAAGTAGAATCCAAAGACATACTTTACAATGCTCTCCGTTTTTCCAAATAATTTAAGTATCGGTGGAGAGAACAATTCCTACCTCCCTAGCAACTTCTAATGTGAAACTCCTTTTCATTTGAGGGAAAGCATTACTGTATTAAATTGACTTTGTTCACTGACTTGCAATAGAAAAATTGTTGGGAGCGTGGGGGAGGGAAAGTTGGTGAGAGTGTGATGGTTATTTTCCTCCCTAGTGTTTGCAGATGTGGTTGGGTTCATCTGCATTTAGAAACTTTAGGCTCATTTTTTGTATTTTAAGCCAAATTAAAACTTTCTACGTGAACTGTACTAGGAGGGTTAGTGAGTCTCGACCAAGTAAATAATTCTCCTTATGAAAAGAGCCTAAATTTAGTAGCTGGGTGAGATGTTCATCAGTAAAGCCTAAAGCAGTTCCACTTAAAAGTAATTGTTTTTCTTTCTTGCCTGATGCAATCAGTAATTCTGAATAGGGCTGAACAGTAGCAGCAACTGCTTGTATGTGAGAACATTGTTTACTGGAGCGTATGTCTGGCATGAATTTCTCGGTGTCTTTCAGGAGACTTTGCATAGTTAGTGGTCCAAACTGTGTAGATTTAGTAATAGTCCTAAATTTGTAGAAGTATATTCGTAAGACTGGTAAGTCAGTTATATTTAATGTAATGGATAGCTTAATTTAATTGCATTTAAAGTAGGATGAGTATTCCACTACTTGTAATTTTGAGGATGACTTTACCATAGTTAAGATGGGATCCCCAAACTTTCTGGAGAAATAACTGGAAGGCACTACAAGCTGGCTTTCAGAAAGGACTTTCAACTGCTTGGATGGCTTCCGCTGCCTGTGCTGCAGGCTCTGTTTCTAAAGGAAGTTAACTAGAGATGCCATGGACACCTGCAGTTCATGGGTTACTGCTCTTTTTCCTAGCTGACTATATCAGGCCCCAAAAGATTCCAGTTACCAGTTGAGCCCAGATCTTCAAGGTGTTTAGGTGCAGAGATACATGCCCAGTGCTATGTACTTATTGAGGTCCTAGAACCTTTGGCTTGCACCGAAGTGAAAAGGATAGTGATTGCCTCATCCCTAAAAAAAAAAAAACAAACATATTTTAAGTAGTTTCCTGAAATGCAGACTTAGGTATCCAAATTCAGAGAGTTGCCTTTTAATTGTTGGCCTTGCAGTCTAAATAAGGAGAAGACCTAGCAGAACAAAAGCAAGGAATTAGAAAAATGAAAAAGATACCAACAGGACTGTATGGTTTTGCTAGTTAATTACGTGCACATACCTGATTCTTAGTTGATGTTAATTACTTATGCTTTCAGATGTTGCAGAAAGAGCAGGCCTTTGGGGGGTTTCACATTCACGGTGGCTTGATTGAATGGGATTAATGACGTTATTTTGGCAAAATCATTTTTATTGCCATTCTGTAAAGACCAAAAAATGTAAAACACAGAGTACCAAAAGTCACAGGTGAAACACTAGTTTTACTTGAAAAATGCTGAATGTATATAATTGAAATTGAAAAGATTTTTCAATTTCACCTGTAGGAAACTCCAGGTGTGACTTTTTTATGTAAACTTGTATTCTAATATTATGGACTCTGCGCAGGTCTGCTTTCTCATTTTCAAGCACAGCTTGAAAAAATCTGGCATTACTCTCTTAAACCCTCCTAATCTTCTGTTTGATTAAACATGTCCCACTCTAGTTATGGCCCATCAGAGAAGCAAAAATAAAGCATATTTCATATGCTTGCTTCAGATGTTTCTCTAGCATTTTATATGTAAAAGTTTTTGGCTTGTGTTCATTTTAAAAGTAAAGACTATGAACAAATAAAACTGTGTCCCTGTAGCCTTTTAATAAGCACTGTTCTTTGAAAAGCAGTTTTCTTGAAGAATGATATCCATCTAAAATATCACTCTGTTACAGTATTTAATTAACAAAAAAAAAGTAATTAGAATTAACTATTTACATATATTGCTAGTTATCTTTTGCTGTTTTTGCTTTGAAAATTTTAATTTCTTCCCTGGCAAAGAATCAGCAGGAAGGTTAGCATTTTTTAAGATTTTGATACTACGTGTGAAGTCCTCAGTGCTGCTTTCCACCATATGATAGTTCATTAAAACACTTGCTGATAATGGGCTGCTGTTTGCAAGTGCAGGAATAGTAACTTTGCCAGTAATTTTGCCTATGGGCAGCTGGAAGTTTTTGCATTCAGGTGAAATAGCCAAGCAGCACGCTGACTTGCCTTAGTCGTTCTACAGCTGCTCAACATTAAATGAAAGGCTGCCCCTCCTGAAGACGAGCATGCATTTGAAGCACATCTTTTTGTAACATTTTGTAATAGGTGAAGTTAGAAATCTTTGGATTTAGGACCCAACTCCTGTCTGGTTTTGTAGCACTGTATCTCCATTTCAGTGAAGCCAGCTAACACTAGCTGGAGAATTTGCTCTTTCTTTTTTATTTTTTTTAAGACCTGTTTTATGGGGATTTGGATAAGCCAGAGCTGCTCTTGAGTGCGTGATCCTATTTTATAGATTTTTAAGACATAAAAAATTGAAGCAATTCTATCCTGGCTTCAGGAGCTGTGAGGCTGAATACTCCTTTTTGCCTGCATATGAGGTTCTAAGTATTAATTGTAATGAAAAGCATTATCTGTATTTGCATGTATTTTATCAGGTAGGAGGTATTGCAATAAAATTGACTTACTGATTGTGGAAGTGAATTGTGTGATTAAAAACTGTTTGTAATGACTAGAATAAAGAAGATGATGAATAATGAAGCTTTAAAAATGGAAAGACTTTCTGTTGTAGTGCCTGTAGTTGAGTTCATTTAACTGTGAAAGTTAATTCTTTTGTTTCCAAAAAGTGTTCTCTACAAAACGTACCATGTGCTTGCTTTTAAGGCTTGTTTTTAGTTTCAAACACCCTTTCGTCCCTGGTCAAATTTGTTACAGGTATATAAACAATCCTTGGTGTCATTTCAGTGGTATAAAGAAAATGAGACCACAAAAAATTTAATTTACATTTAACAGTAGTAGATTGGCCTAACTGTTTAGTTCTCTAATTCCCTTGCCAAATACTGTACTTCCCCCTGCGAGGCCAATTTCTGTTACTACACAGTGAATCATATATGATCAGGCATGGTAGGAGTGAAAATTTTATCGTGATGTTAGAAGATGGAGGAAGTAGGAACCTGAGTTTGTAGCAGTAGGACATTCAACATGCAAATGTTTGCTGTATATCTTCCACCTTATGCAGTCTGTGGAAAGTATTATTTATGGAGAACATCTGGTTTCTTGCTTCTCTGCTTTATGGTACTTACCTACTCGGTGTACTAAGAAATGTCTGCTACTTAATACCTGTTTGTTTCCTTCTTAAAATCTTGTCTGAACAGCTCTGCCAAGTGTGGAGTCTTTATCTCATGCTGATGTCCTGTTGATGACATCTTGTGCTCCTAAGTCAGTCTTGAATAAAAGCTCTCAATGATTCAGTCTGAGTTAGCTCAGGATCTATGGCTGTGCAAAGCTGGGGAGCAAGTTTAGTAAACGTACGAAGCTGAAAGCAGCCAATTTTTTGGTCAAGATTAATGGTAGCAATATTGTAAAAAATAGACCAATTAAAAGTGTGACTTAGGTGTTTTGATAGAAAAAGGGGTTTATTCTTTTCCTGCCTTCTCCTCTGTTTTCAAGGAGTAAATTATTCCCTTCCTGCTACTTCTGTTACGGCATACAGCTTCCTTCCCTGGACACTTGGGCTCTGTAGATCTAGTTAAACTGTTTATTGCTGTTACATCACAAATCTCGGTCGTGCTTACTGAGAGAGTAGTTTGAAGATCAGCTCATTTTATATCACTCTTATTTTTGCTCATTTTTCTTTTGGTAGTGAGTTGTAACAGATCACCAAGAGTCTGTGTGGGTACTAATGCCAACCCAAAAAAGGGACAGAAGCACACACACAAAGCCAGGAGAAACAGAAGTTAGAGGGGACAGTGAGCTCAGACTTCTCCTAGAAACTTGTGCTGATGATGGCCCTGGCTATAGTAGGAACATGATATAAATCCTGACAGCCATCAGCTTATCCTTGGCTGCATGATTCTCCCATTTTCCTTGCACTTGCATTTGTGTGATTGTTAATTGTTTGTGGAATAGACTAAGCTGAAAATTAGTAGTTATTTTTTTCTGTGATTTGGTTTTCAGTCAGATTTTTGCCCTGAATCAGTTCACATAGTCACAAATTACCAGTGACTGCAAAAGAAAGGAGGCAGGATTTATGGCAGCCCAACTGCCCTCTGACTTTCAAACAACAGCTAGAGTGATTAAATGATTTATTATTAAATAATAAAGTGGTAATTTACAGACATGTATGTGTGTAGAATTAAGTAGAACATTCAACATGAGGCTTGATGTCATGTTGAATGCAATTTTCTGTAAATCATATCTTTTTCATACTTTTATTTTACAGTTGCTGCTAACTTACAGAAGATAGTAGATGATCCAAAGGCCTTGAAAACATTGACTTTTAAGTTGGTAAGTAAAAACATGAAGGGAAGAAACAAACTAATTATCACGGTATTCACACAGAGTCTGGACTTTCTCATTTACAGCTATTTTGCTGAATAAATGTGTTGACAGATAAGATGATTGAAATTGCCATGTGTGAGAGAAAAAAACTAAACCCTATTTTGACAGGACATTAGGGATATGTACAGTTACACAGCTCCATAAGTGTGCAGGGAGAAGGAGGTTCATTCACGTGAGTTCTGAGGAAGTTCGAGGTTTAGGTGAGAAATTGCAGGGAGAAAACCCCTGGGAGGAATTGCAGAAACAAGTAAAGCAGAGAAATCTGCAGTTGTTGGGTAACTCCCCTCCATGCCCACTCCCTCAGCTCTGCCCTGACTGAAGTGTCCTCTGCTAATGGACATTTTGTTCCAACCCATTTTTGCCAACACCTGCCACCATTTTTCTTGAATGCAGGTCGCCCTCTCCACTGCTTACTTCTCCTTAGTTCTTCCCTTCAACCTTCTTTCAGTTGACCATCTACACTTGCAAGTTGATCTTGCTCCCACTGTATTTCATTACTGTGTCTCCCTCCCCACCTCTTTCTGTCTTCTGTATATACAGAAGACCCTGGTTTGCGCCTGGCACTGTTTTCTGTGCTGCGTTTTGTGCCCTGGACCATGGGTCCTAATTTTGGTCGATTTTGATGCTATCATGATAGATCTAATTTAATATTAATAACTTTACATTGAAAAAACTTAATTCAGAATTGATGTGCTGTATTTGTTTTTATTTCTTGCTAAAATTAAGTTGAAAAATTTACATACCCAAAACTATTGAATGATTAGCTATGTAAATACCAAACTCTTACCAATTATCTTTCAGCACCCCTTGCTGAGAGTGACTCAGCTGCGTATGAAAGACTAGACTGAATGTCTGTTAGATAAGTAGGTCTCCAGAATCACAGCTTTAGAGAGCCATTTTTAGAGAGTAGCTAATGATAATGTATTAATTCAGGATTGTTCTTCCATGTCACTTTTTAAAAATAGAGAGAGCCATTTAGAGAGTAGCTAATGATAATGTATTAATTCAGGATTGTTCTTCCATGTCACTTTTTAAAAATAGATGAGTAGTTTTAATTGACCAAATCATTTGGACTCATTTTTCCTCTACAGTCCAGTAAAATCACCAGAACTTACATGTTTCTTTTGAGAAGGGCTTGGGGTGGGGGAATAAGGATATATAACTCAAATTGTTTTGCTTCTGTGGCCCTTACTATCTAAATACAGCTTAAAGGCTGATGCTTCTCTTTTTGCAGCTGATCTGGGTTCTTGCTGTCTAAACAGCTGACTTAGCTTTATTGTGTAGTCAATGGCATCTCACCAAGAGCATTTAGATACACAGATATTTCGGAGGTTCTGTAGAAGTCTGGGTTTCTAGTTCACACACTTAAAATAGAGGCTTGAGATTCCAAAACGTAATATCCCATAGTAGCCAGTTAATGTTTATATATGTTGAAAACAAATCCACTTGAAAATTTAGGTTGGGGTATTTCTGTGATTCATAGAATCATAGAATCATTGAGGACAAATCCACGAAAATTTAGGTTGGGGTATTTCTGTGATTCATAGAATCATAGAATCATTGAGGTTGGAAAAGCTCTAAGATCATCGAGTCCAACCGTCGACCCAACACCACCATGCCCACTAAACCATGTCTCT